TCCCCCCTCTACCACCATCCCCACTCCCACAGTTTGGGGAGTTCCTCTCCTATGTGTTGCCCCATGAGGGAGAGATTGGCCTCTGGTGCCATTGTGCTGAGTCCAGAACATAGTTGTGGGGAGCCCAGCTGATCAACCTCTCTCTCCTGCCCCACTCCTGACCTCAGAAGGAGTGGGAAGTAAATGTGCCACTATGGCCATATGTTGGGTCTTAGTGTTTACAGTGGAGGGATGGGGGAGCACAGTGAGTTTTTTTCCTCCTTCCACTACAGCTGTTCTGAGAGCTCCCTGGTCTTCTCCATGTAGTGGGAGCTGCAGCCACTGCTGCTTTGGCGGCAGCATGAGCCTGACTTCGGTACGTTCAAAGATTTGGGCAGGCTGGCAGGAACTCAACAGAGAGAGGGAAATGGTGATATTTAACACTCAGGCAAACCTGAGTAGAATTTCATAGGACAAAGAAAACGCAATTCTGTAGAAGAAGGAAATGCTCCCTGCTGAGTATCACAGGCCTGCTGAAATCAGTAAGGATGCAAGACCTTCTCAAAGAAAAGTTTCCTTTACAATGGAAAATATTAGGCAACCTAAATATAGGAGTCATTACCAGGTTCCCCTATAATAAGCAGTTTAAGGCCCAGCCCATTAGTATTTCTATCGTGTCATGCAGCCAACATTGTTTCTGTAACAGTCTAAGACAGGGGTCGGCAATCTTCGGCACGTAGCCCACGGCTTCCCACAGCTCCCACCGGCCAGGAACGATGAACCGCAGCCACTGGGAGCTGTGAGGGGCCATGCCTGCGGATGGTCAATGTAAACAAAATGTTTCATGGCCTGCCAGCGGATTACCCTGATGGGCCACGTGCGAAAGGTTGCCGACCCCTGGTCTAAGAGACTGTGGACTCAATAGGAATCCTCAAATCCTTACTTGCATAAACAAATGCAGGACCAGGCCCTAAATTCTTTCACTAACTAGATTAGCTTATCCTAGATATGATACCAAAGTGAGTTCTCCTGTTCTCAGAGGAAGAAAAACTACAACATTAATATTCTTTTCTAGAATTTTGCACATAATGAGAAAATAGTCCAGGTAAGAGAGGAAAAGTGTTGGTCTTCGGAAGCAGCAACAGGAGCTTTCTGTGTTAAGTTTTATATTAATAGTGCATATTCCTAAAAGGTCAGTGCACATTAAAAAATGTTCATTACATAAGGTTGCCAGTTTGGGTTGGATGTATTCCTGGAGATTTCATCACATGACATTTAATTAAAGATTGATCTTTAATTCCTGGATACTCCAGGCCAATCCTGGAGGGTTGGCAACCCTATCATTACAAATCTGTGCTTCCATTTAAGGCTTTGTGCATTATGGGAGACATTTTCTGGTTGCTTGTCTGCCTAAGTCTGCCCAGTTCAATCAGTATTTGCACTCAAAAACTGCAGTAGATTGCTGGATAATGTAACTGCTAGAAAGCTGCAGAGGAGCATTAGACTCTGTCATCAGTCTTCCATTGTGTTAGGCCCTGGAGCATTTCCTAATACGGTAATGCAAGTGATGCTAATCAGATCCTCATATCTTGATGCCTTACAGAGTTTCTAGCAGGCCATATTAATCAATATCATCACTTTCCCATCATTGTGCAAGCGGAGTAATTTTATATATGCCTCATTTGTTGAGATTAGTATTTTTGCTCACCTTAACTTTAATAGGCAATCTGTCTTACAGACTTTGTCCTCTTACTAATTTTTGCTCATGCTGGGTAATAGTTTAACAATATGCTGAAATATTTCTGATTATCTACTTTTTGGAAGAAAAATGAGTGACTAACACAAACTTTTTCCACGAAGGCCAAGATCTTCATTTTCGATAACATTTTCAATTTAATATTTCCTTTCACAGCACATTGATTAATGTACTACATTTTTCTTCAAGTCTACATTTTTCGTCAAATGATATATTTTATACATTTCAGAATAAACACTAGTAAATATATTTGCTGACCTTTTAAGGCTGTTAGAGATCAAAAACAAAATTTCTTGTAACACCCACTGCAAAATAAGTCACTGTTAAAAAATACTATTGATATTCTCCCAAATAAACCAAAGCTATTTGAATAATATATAGGGAACATGGAAATGTCTGAAAGAGACTGACAAATAGACTTTTACGTGTTGTTTTTAAATTACAATCCAACTGCAGAAGAATACTTTAAAGGTCAAACTGATACTAAAGACAGGCAAGTAATCTGAATCATCTATGATGAATGTGCTGTTAATTATTTATAACAGTGCAATAGGCAGCTGCTAAAAATTTCTGAAACTACATAGCATCTTACATTTATAGTGAAGATTTTAAAGTAAAATTTATATATTTCAATCAAAGAATGAGCATGCTGAAAAGTACAATCTATACACTTTATTCATATGAGTAGAGTACCAGCTGCTGTAATTGGAATATTTAGATTAGTAAGGCAAGTAGGATTTGGCCCTAAGTGATTCGCTATTTAAGAGCAAATTTAACACTCACTGTTCTGTTCATTTAGCTTTTCTTTGACAGGTCAGATCTATTTTTAAATAAGAAATGTGTAGTTTATTTCTTCTCAGTATTTTTTCTGAGCTAGAAGACAATGCTACTGATACTCAGGGCCCAATTACGCCTCCTTTGATAAAGGAATAGGGAGAAGGCACATGCCTGAGCACTAGCCTCACAATAGAAGAATGATGTCTCTGAAACAGACAATGCTACCTGGGCCTTGGGAAATTACCTCTTATAACTCTCTCTCTCTCTCTCTCTCTCACTCTCCAGTGCAGACGTACCAGCTCTTGCGGATAACACTACTGCTCTACCTCACAGGTGTATTGTTTATAAGGCGCTCAGCTTCTGCAGTGATGAAGGCCATACTAAGTTCCTAGAAACACAAACTAGTTTTTAACCACTCTTTGCTATTTATACTGCAGAGCCCATACTGCTAAGGGAGAATAAGCTAATTCTTTCCTGACTTGCACATTATCATCAGAATTGTTAACCAGGTTCCAGTTGGCAAATTTGTATTACTTGTGATGTACAAGCCAGAAAGAACTAAGTCTGACACTGGGATACTCCACGCTGAGTTCGCAGGGCTAGCAGTTAGAAAATCCAGTTTTGTACATGTAAAAAATTTGATCTGTGTCACATGGGGGTTTAAAGGAGTGAGTCACTTGGTAGAGTATAACTAAGGTTACCACCTTTGAAATGCAAAAAAGGCACACCCTACCCTCTACAAGGCAACACCGCAACCTCCCTCCCCCTTCAACAGCCATATATAGAATCCAGAGAGAACACACATATAGATAAGATTGATAACATCATTTTCTTACTGAAGACGTGGGAACACTGCAGCATCTTTACCTGGACACAGAAACTTTTAACATTAGATATCCCAGTGCATTGTGATAATAATGCAAATCTTTAGACCCACATAAATAACCCAGCAGATTTAATTATTTTTCTGGCAACTGGCAAATCCATAGAAAAGCAGCCAGGATGGTCAAATATTGGTCAGGTCGTAATCCTAGGTATAACTGCTCCAAAATGCTAGCGCCCCACTCTGCCTTTCCTGATGATGCTGGAATCGATAGTTCCAATGGAACAAAAGGGTAACTGATCACCTGGATGGAATTTTCTGTAGCAAGTCACTCTTTAATTGACTCAATCAGCCTCTGACTCTTCAATTCCTGTAAGCCTTTTCAGCTTTAGGCTACTCCTCTGCTAGGGCTACTAATATAAAGACATTGACCAGCTCCTACACAGAACCCCCTCTCCATGCCCCTGCACAGGAGCTGATCAGAGCTCTAATGGGAAAGTAGGACCTCCTCTTTCCTAGCATTCCCACAGGTACTAGCGGTCAGGGAGAGGTAAGGGAGGGAGCAGGCCTCCTAACCTCCCGCTACACTGGCCAACAGGGAATGTCCATAAAGGTTGTAAAGCAGTGTGTGCTGGCTAGGAGCCCTTAAGAGGGAACCTAGCTGGGTCCCTCCATGTCACTTCCTGCACTCCTAGAACAGAAAACAGCCCATAGTTTGGAATTCCCAACTGCTAGTGGTCAACGCGGCTGCTAACTCCTCTTTAAATACTAGAAAGCTATTTCTAGGTAGCTTTATGAAAGGCTGTGGAAGAAGGCAGGGCCAGGATTACAGTAATGAGCAGGGGCAGCTCCAGGCACCAGCGCACCAAGCGCGTGCTTGGGGTGGCAAGCCGCGGGGGGTGGCCTGCCGGTCCCTCTTTATCCTGTGAGGACCTCACAACCGCAACACTTGTCCTCAGGATCACATGCCTCAGTTACTATAATCCTCACTTAGCAGGGTTTCTCCAGTCCTGGCAGCTTGTTCAGAATGCAGCCAGGACAGCACATATGCCCTCTGGCTATAGCTACTATTACCATGAAAGGGCCACCCTGTGTGCTTCTCATCAGCTGCCTGCTGCAGTGGATTGATTTTAAGATAGCACCCTTGATTTTTAAAGCCCTTAATGGTCTCAAAGTCAATTCTAGCTTCAGCCTCAGGTTGGTGGGTCTCTGTGGTCAGGCACTAGCCATCATTTAAGTTCCCTACCTCTGCTTCTTAGGGTGGGTCTAAAATGTGGGAATTGGTTCTCCCTATAATCCATTTCCATCAAGCTCTCCCTGACTTTTATAAAACACCTTAAAACTTCTTGCTATGAAGGTTTATTTGTTACTGTAAGAATTGTGGACCCTATATTCATGTCTCTCTGTCCTTTTACCCATTTTTCCCTTTTGTTTTTTCTAGATCCCTTTGATTTTATTTTTTCAAAGGTAGTTTTACTATTTTAATTCTTTTAATTATTGCAATGTTTTTAATGAAGGATAGTTCTTTAGTTCTATTACACTCATTATTTATCATTATCATCATGAGATGGGGCAAAAGCCAGTAAGTAGCACAATGTAACCAGGGCCAGCTCTAGGTTTTTTGCTGTCCCAAGCCAAAAAAAAAAAAACCTCCGAGAGCGCAACTGCGGAAGCAAAAAAAAAACTTCCCGGAATGCCGCCCCTGGAATCGTGCTGCCCCAAGCACATGCTTGGTTTGCTGGTGCCTAGAGCCAGTCCTGAATGTAACATTTCTAAATGGTTCCAAAAGGAATAATGGTTTTAAACGGCCCTAGGCGAATGCAAGATACCTCTGAACAGGGAGTGCCTGCAGTAGCCCTGTTAAAAACCAGTACTGTATCTGCACCGTGGATAGACAGGTTACAATGAGAGAGAGAGAGAAAGAGCATTCAGCTCTGCTTGTATAATAACAAAATGAAGTGTGTCGGGAAAATGCCATAATCTCCAGATTTACACATGCTGCATTAAGATCTATGCCTACATTAATATGAAGTTTGTTTTGTTATTATACAAGCAAAAACACACACCATATTAAAGCTGTACTTAAATAACTTTAAAAAAAAGGGAAATGTTAATTATATAACAATATATGGTCAACATACAATAATTTGCTTAACACTGTTAATTCCGTATTTACATATGTACCAATATGCGTCAGAACAGTATAATTTTAATTTCTTATTGTAAATGACCAAAACATCATAATTGAAATCCTCCCTCCAAAAAAACCCCTAAAAATCCATGCCTGAACTGAACAATATAGCTGGTGACTAGTTCCAAACAAACCCCATCCTGCATATAGGGAATGAACTAGGCTCAATTCTGTATTCACTAACAATTCAAACCTCAGAAGCTACAGGAGCATTGTCTGTCAGCATTTTTGAGAGAAACGGATATAATCCCACCTACTGTTTAGCTGTGCTAGACTTTCTGTACAAACAAGGCTATCACATTATTGAGAAGCAAAAGAATATCTCATCAAGTACTGGAGCTGCTCAATCAGAGGAAGGCATTTAATGTCATTTCCTTTACAATGTACAGCTTTAATTTTTAAAATACCAGGCAGTGTCCATCCTAGAAATCTTCATAAGAAGTATGGCAATCAACAGGTCTCTTTACACCTCCACTCTGAACTACCATATCTCCAATCAATCCCCTTTCTCTATCAACAGGAGACTTCCCTGATATCACTCAATTTCCCCTCTCCACCACTGTGAGATTCCTGCCATTTCCTCTTTCTGCCCTACCCCACATACAAAGTTCCCACCTGTACTCCAGCCTCAACCTTCCCATGGCTTTTGATATTGTTGATCACCCCCTTCTCCAGGACATTCTGTCCCCCCTCGGCTTTCATTGCCTCCACTCCCTTCCCTTTACCTTTTCAATGTATCCTTTGATGATTTCTCTCTCACTCCCTCTGCAAAGGACCTACAGGGCTTTGTCCTTGTCCACTCTGTTGCTTGGCCTTGGCCAACCTCATCCATTCACAAAAATTTAACTATCATCTTTATTCTGATGGCTTTCAAATCTGTTTCCCCATGCCTGACCAGTCTCTGCCTGTCCAGTCCTGTATATTTAAATTTCTTTCTCTGAGGTTTCAACCTGGATGGCTCACTGACAACTCAAGCTGAACATGCTCATGCAGTGCAGAAGCACTATCACTTCGGATATTTAAAACTAGACTAAACACAAAACAAGAAGGAATCACATATAATATGGTTCTTCTCTGACAAATGACATTGGGGGTCCCATGGTGGTTGTCTCTCAGTGATTTCCATATCAAATGCATTTATCTTAAAAGTAAAATGATGAGGTATGAGCCTTGATAGTTTGACTCTTAGAGAATTTCTTATGTGCGTTTTGCTAAAAATAATTGATTTCTTGTGCTATTTTCACTGTCTGTATTAAACTACTTATTTTTTGATTAGGCACTTTAAACTTCTAACCACTTATTGCTCATTTTATCTTAAATTGGGGCAATGATTTAATTATTTGACCTATACCCAGTAAAAGGTTTTTAGTAGCACACATGCTTTAAGCCCACACTATTATTATAAAATTGACTAAATACATTAGGAATATTTTCACAGGAGAAAATTATATGTCTCTGCAGAATGTTTTACAGCAAAGACCTTTATCCAAGAGTGTTACATCATAAGTGACACCATCTGTTCTACACTTCAGCTTGCAAGAAATACTGACTGTAAAACAAAACGTAATGAAGTCTTTCTGAAAAACTACTGCCTTGTGATCCTTAAAATATGCACATATTTCAAGGAGTCAATAATCAGACTAATCTAATTAAGAAATAGATAATTAAAAGACCATCAAAAATGTTGGTAAATCATGCTCAGGACACATAACCTGACGTTTGCACTAGTTTTTATGTAGGATTAAAATAGTAATGGAACCTCATCTGAGATTTAATCTATGGATGATTTAGAGAGATTAAATTGCACTCAAACAGGCTTTATAATAAAAAATTCCATTAAAAATTCAACATTAAACATCACAGGAACCTGCAATAATTGCGGTATCTTTCTGTACATATAACAGGAGGTGTTACAGTACCAGTCACTACAGAGGCTAAGATTTACACAGCCACCAGAAGTTGTCTATAGTAGTAGTACAATGACTAAGGTTGTTGCACTACACTGTAACATGAAAAACAGGTCACAAGAAACAAGATTAGAAATTAAAGCTGCCTTCGCAAACATGATCACAGCATGTAATCCTTTCACCAATTTTTACTTAAAGCATCAATTCTTTCTTTATTAAGATTTTTGGGAGAGAGAGGGCCTTAAATTGCATTTTTTACTTGTGAGCAAGGATCTTTAAGACAATCTCATTACAAGCACATTGCCATCTATTCATGGGTTTTCTGCATCAAAAATTAGAAAGTAGCTTAGTTTCCCTTTGGCCTAGCAAAAAAAGAGATCTCCCTAAGAAACTAATTTTAAAAGGAAACACACTGATAATGTTGATATCATGATAATGATTAAAAATGAGGTTTTCTATGCATGATAGTAAAGCTTTATTTCCCCTAAGATATTATCTTTAAAAGACCTATAAGAGGAGATAGTGTTGCCTAGTGGCCAGCGCACTGGCTTGGGACTCAGGATATCTGGGTTCCACACCTAGCTTTGCTGCTGGGTGACCTTGGGCAAGTCACTCTCAGATTCCCCATCTGTATAACAGGGATAATGATACTGAACTCCTTTGTAAAGCGCTTGAAATCAACTGATGAAAAGGATTAGATCTGAGAAGCTGGCTAGCTTCGATTTATCAGTTCACCAGCAGCTCTATCGAAACATCAAGGCCTCAACCCTACAAAGACTTACGCACATACATAATGTTATGCATGCAAGCAGTTCTACTGAAATCAACACTCACAAACTAAAGTTGTGCAATACCAGTCTGATGGCCACCTTCTTGGGGACTTAACAAGGGACCTTCAGAGTTGAAAGTATGAGTTTCTCGAGCTGGAGCTTAGAAGCCAAGGCTCCCCAGGTGACACTGTAATGGACTCATATCTTTTTTCATTCAGGTACAGAGCGGGTCCTGAAACACATATGCACCCTCAGGTTATGCCTATGTCAACTCTTTGCAGACTGGGGCCTGCAACTAAAAGGCATAAAAGAGGAGAGGATTTTCAGATCGCTCGTCACAGCATCCAAGCTACAGGTGTAAAAAACAATCAAAGCTACAGTGCCCCAATCACCCAGGCCACTGCAACTGTTTCCATCCAGGAGACCGCAGTGTTCACTTGAGCCTGTCAGCAGCTCAACAGGTCTCTGAGGAATGCAGCAGTCAGTTTATACAATTAGAATCAGAGCAGCAAATTTCAGGTCAGGGGATGTATCCTGGGGCTGAAGGGAGCGGACTTACTACAATTGCTGATTGCCAGAAAATTAATTAACGAGATTAGTCTGATGACCAATATATTAGGGATTTTCAGTTCCTACTTTTACCAGCTGTTTTGCTTAAACACACTGTAGACATTACCCTGGGGATGATACTACATTGTGTGTTTATTTCAGTAGCTGCTTGATCTTTTATTTTTCAATTTTCTGCACAATACTTTTAAAAAAAGATGGCTTTACAAAAACAAGGATTATTGAGCAAACAGAAGATACAGGAGCTGAACTGCTATAATGGCCCCATCCTACCAGGTAAGGAATGCTTCCTAACTGGTGTGCAGTGCCCTGATCTCTCAGAGAGCTGAGGCACTCAAGGAGGTGCCAGGAAGTACACAGCACCTTGAAAGAAACCTTGAAAGAAAACAGCACACAGTAAAATGCCAAGCATTATCGGAATAGCTATCAAGGACAATTTACTTCCATGCATCTATTATTGAACACACAAAAACACAAACTATGGCAAAACCTGTAATATAAACCAATATTGCCCTCAGCAATCTCTGCTACAGGAAACAGACAGACCATCACACCAATATTTTAACAGAATTTCTGCTCACAATGCAGGATTGGATGGCATTACTACTTACAGTATTAAATGCTCAATCCAGTTGAAATTAACCTAGGCAGCTGCAGTCTCCCAGAAGCTCTGTAGAATTCCTATTAATCCAGTAGCTAGACTCTGCCCTCGGTTAGGCAAAATAATCTAGGGTGGTTGAAAGTCCACAGTGAGTTCTGCAGTTGGCTAGCATGTTCCCAAAATGGGAAGCACGGATCATGGTTGGGGCACTGATCCAGCACACTGATCCAGCACACTGGAGCCTTTGCCAGTGGGCTCCTCTGCCCCCAATTTAATTTAAAGCAGCCTTCCTCCAGAGGAAACCTGTAGCATGCTCATCCTCCAGAGGAAACCTGTAGCATGCTCATCCTCCAAAGTGAAACCCTCTGGGGCACAGCTGTCCCTGCTGGCACAGGCAGGCGCATGTAACTTTTCCCTATGCCAGTGAGGGTGAATTGAGCCCAATAGCTGCCACTGTGACAGTGATGTTGATGGGAGAAATACCCTTTTATTCACCAAACCCACATAACTCCTTCCTTTAAAGCAGGCTCACTGGGCCTTATTCTCATTTACACTGAAGCTCCTTTACACTGCCAGAACAATTTAAATAAGAATCAGGCCTTCTGACTGCCTGGCTTCATTGTCATGCACGGGAATCAAGCTCATGATAATGACATTGGAGGAATTGCACAACAGATACTCAGGACATATCCAGACATCCTGCTGCAAGGGAAGCTTCATCATGAACTGAGGAACCACCTTAAAAGGAGTCATGGCCAAATGTTTCTGTTCTGCTCTGGCCAACCTGGGAAGCCCTTTCCTGAAGGTAACTAATAAAAGCAGCTTTGATAACCACAGGTAAAACTGTCTACACCTGTAAAGTTCCCAGAGTTGGCCACAAACTCCTGTGTTCCCAACTTACTCAAACCATCTCCTGATTTTGGCCTGCTGCTGCCCTCCCTAAGAGGCTAGCCTGTGTGCCACCGGCCTCTCTCCTCACTTATGCTATCTCTCCATTCCTCTACCAGCCTGTCACAGTGCAAAAAGCACTGTGAGATCAAGAGAGACAAACAAAGAGAATGTCATCTGTCTGCTGTCTGTCTACCTAGCAACTTCACATAAGGAATGCCCCTCTCAATTATGATGACAGTAATGGGGAGATTGGTTAGAGTGCCATGAGAGGGAAAGAAGAAATACTGGATGAGTCAGTGTTTTGATTTAGGGAGCTCCTCATTCTCTGAGACACCAACATTTCTCACTATTAGTGCTGTTTGTTTTGACTCTTCGTATTTCTCTCAATTAGGACAATGAAAATACATTCAGTTTCACTCTGGAGTGTAGTCTCTTTCCAGCCAATTTCAATTTCATGTTCTCATTCATTAGTACTCCGTATTTTGGGGTTGCAAAGAAGGCAGAGAATTTCTGGGGAACAGGGGAGATTAAATGGAATTTCATGTAAATTCACTGAAATGTTAAATAATTTGAGGGTTTGTAAAAGTATGTTATTAAAAATATTAAATTTGGGGGCAAATGTCACCTATTTAATTCTATTTTTCCATTATGCAGATATTTGAAATCTTAGAGCAAGGAAGTGATAAGACTGATATCTAACAGCAACAAACTGTTGCTGACAAACTGCTGACAAACATCTCTTCCAAATGTAACCATAATAACAAGAAACATACAAAACTGAGATTTGCCACATTAATAAAACATAGAGCTCTTGCACATTAGTACATTCAAACCAATATTTTGTTCTCAAAGCAAAAAATAGTGATTTCACATTGGAATATAATTCAGTCACTCAAACAACCCTCTTGTATAAATGGATATCAGAATCCTTCCAGCAACTGAGTTTGCTGGCTTTAAAATAAAAAACCTTCAGATGACAGAGTACCAGAATAAAAATGTGTTGTCCTGGAAACAGACTCCTAGTTTCACAATCTACAGTATGCATTTCCAAGTGGCTGTTGATAAATGTTTATGTGTGTATTTAAAAAAACCCTCTGTTTAATCTGAATTGTTGCAGAAATGTCAAGAAAGAGGATAACACAGCTCCCTTTATCCAGACTCTCTTTTTGCCTTAGACTTCCACAAGTATCTTTTCTCTGTCCCTTGGGTCTGGAATCCTGGATGTAACAGCAGGACTGTGATCAACACATTGACTTGGCACTATCCAACTAATTCTCAACAAAACCAGGATGACTGGGTGTCTTGAGGTGATATAACTCTGAGAGCCGTGATTCCAAAATAGTCTGATCAGTCATTTTCGTGCTCTCAGTTAATCCACTGATTCATCTTTACTAGCTTGAGTACAATTTTTCAGTAGGTTCTAAAAGATGAGTTCTCCTCATTTTCCATGTTAGTACCTTGATATGGAAATGAAAAGAGATATGAGTCTAGATACCCAAAAGCTAACAGAGTTTGGTTGAATATATCCAAGATGCTCTTTGTCTACGTAGCTCTCCAAACTATACACCTGCTCTGTAGTAGCAACTAGATGAAATGTAGCATTCCGCATATTGATTGCAGAGTGTATCAGGCCTCATTTCTTATCAAGTTCCAACAAGGAATAAATCAAAGAATACTAAGCACCTGTACCTGGAGGAGACACTGATTCTGGTGTCTTCTGCTGTTTAGTTAAGACTGCAGAGCCTTTGGTCTTGGTGGTTCGAGATCTGGTTAGGAAAAAAAACTTTGTTGGAATGCTTTGTTTTATGTTTCATTGTTTTTATGGATTTAATAATATAGCAAACCCTAAAATGATTCAAAGTCCCACAACAGAAATGAAAACAATATACTAAAATAACAGTTAAATTATGTCATTGAAAAGAGCACTGCAGGAACTAGGTTAGAATGTTCCAATTTTAGCCCCACTACATTTGTTTCAACAGGTTTAGTTTTACTGGTTTTGTTTAACTAACTCCAGTGAAATACTACATAATCCATAGTTGGGCAATATTTTCTGAAATCTATCAATCTTTTCAGTATTCAGTATTCAGTTGACCTCAGACAACAAAAATCATGGGATGCATTTTTAAAATCCTTAGATTCATCCACTGTAAAATTCTCTACTGAAAGAGACTCCTATCCTAAACCAACATAGAATATGAGTCACCAAGCAATGTATTACCCCAACTGTAAGTAAGGTTTATTTAAATGTGAGTAACTTGGTAGCAAATCAGTCCAGAAATGTTTCAAAAAGCACCACAGATGTTAGGTCTTAGTTGTAAATTCACATTTCTAAAACTTCCAGGCAATGATCAAGGGAGAGCCTTACAATTCATAAGCCCATAAAAACAGATGCACTAAAAGAAACATAGCTATGCAGCCATAGGCATTGGGCCATGAAGCCAAACATTTGGAAGCACGTGGAAGGCAAATCTGATTCTGCTGATTAAATGGAACGAGTTGGTTCTGTGTCATTTAAACTTTAAATCTAAGCTATGTCATAGGAGTTCTGGAAAACTTATTGAGTGCTTCCCAAGATCACAAAGTCTTTTAAATGTCTACTGGGTCTTCTTTATTTACTATACTAGTTCATGTTTGCTTTGTTGTACTGTTTATCTCAGGGCTCGCTTTGATTAGCCTTTCATTAACTGTAATAAATCTCTGTTATGCCTAACAGAGTTTTAAATGCTGCTGTGTTTGACTAATTTAAACCACCACTTAAAATCATACTAGATTTTTACAGAACTACACTATAAATGTTGCAGTCTCTTCTTCTCCATCAGCCAGCATTATTTGTAATACCCTTCAGGATAACCTAGTGCAAATTTCATACAAATCAGATGTAAGAGAAATATACACCAGGCTTTCTGAGAAATGTACTCACTGAATCATAGGGGTAAAAAACAAAACAGTGATCCATCCCATCCCCTTTTCCAACAGTCTTTTCCAAAATAGGCAAGTGTATAGCAAAATAGGGAACTGAAAATACGCTAGCTCTGTAACAAACCTGATGCAGTTTGAACCACAAAAATTTTTCTATTCACTGTGAATCTGCACATATTTTATTAAAGTGATGAGGTATGTGAGGTAAAAGACGGTTACTCACCTTTGTAACTGTTGTTCTTCGAGATGTGTTACTCATATCCATTCCAATTAGGTGTG